TGGTAGAATTCGGCTGTGAATCTGTCTGGTTCTGGACTCTCTTTTTGGTGGTCGGCTATTAATTATTGCCTCAATTTCAGAGCCTGTTATTGGTCTATTTAGAGAATCAACTTCCTCCTGGGTTAGTCTAGGGAGGGTGTATGTGTCCAGGAATTTATCCATTTTTTCTAGATTTTCTAGTTTATTTGCATAGAAGTATTTATAGTATTCTCTGATGGTAGTTTGTATTTTTGTGGGATCAGTGGTGATATCCCCTTTATCATTTTTAATTGCATCTATTTGATTCTTCCCTCTCTTCTTCTTTATTAGTCTGGCTAGTGTTCTATCAATTTTGTTGATCTTTTCAAAACACTAGTTCCTGGATTCATTGATTTTTTGGAGGGTTTTTTGTGTCTCTATCTTCTTCAGTTCTACTCCAATCTTAGTTATTTCTTACCTTGTGCTAACTTTTGAATTTGTTTGTTCTTGCTTCTCTAGTTCTTTAAATTGTGATGTTAGGGTGTCAATTTTAGATCTTTCTTGCTTTGTCTTGTGGACAGTTAGTGCTATAAATTTCCCTCTACACACTGCTTTAAATGTGTCCCAGAGATTCTGGTACATTGTGTCTTTGCTCTCATTGGTTTCAAAGAACATCTTTATTTCTGCCTTCAGTTCGTTATTTACCTAGTAGTCATTCAGAAGCAGGTTGTTCGGTTTCCATGTAGTTGTGCAGTTTGAGTGAGTTTCTTAATCCTGAGTTCTAATTTGATTGCACTGTGGTCTGAGAGACAGTTTGTTGTGATTTCTGTTCTTTGACATTTGCTGAGGAGTGCTTTACTTCCAATTATGTGGTCAATTTTAGAATAGGTGCAATGTGGTGCTGAGGAAAATGTATATTCTGTTGATTTTTTTGTGGCGGGGGGGAGTTCTGTAGATGTCTACTAGGTCTGCTTGGTGCTGAGCTGAGTTCAAGTCCTGGATATCCTTGTTAACCTCCTCTCTCATTGATCTATCTAATATTGACAGTGGGGTGTTAAAGTCTCCCATTATCATTGTGTGGGAGTCTAAGTCTCTTTGTAGGTCTCTAACGACTTGCTTTATGAAGCTGGGTGCTCCTGTAACGAATCTGGGTGCTCCTGTATTGGGTGCATATATATTTAGGACAGTTAGCTCTTCTTGTTGAAGTGACCCCTTTACCACTACATAATGGCCCTCTTTGTCTCTTTTGATCTTTGTTGGTTTAAAGTCTGTTTTATCAGAGACAAGGATTGCAAACTCTACTTTTTTAAATTTTCCATTTGCTTGGTAGATCTTCCTCCATTCCTTTATTTTGAGCCTATTTTGTGTCTCTGCATGTGAGATGGGTCTCCTGAATACAGCACACTGATGGGTCTTGACTATCCAATTTGCCAGTCTGGGTCTTTTAATTGGGTCATTTAGCCTATTTACATTTAATATTGTTATGTGTGAATTTGATCCTGTCATTATGATGTTAGCTGGTTAATTTGCCTATTGATACAGTTTCTTCATAGCATCGGTGGTCTTTACAATTTGGCATGTTTTTGCAGTGGCTTGTACCAATTGCTCCTTTCCATGTTTAGTGCTTCCTTCAGGAGCTCTTGTAAGGCACGCCTGGTGGTGACAAAATCTCACAGCATTTCCTTGTCTGTAATGAATTTTATTTCTCCTTCACTTATGAAGCTTAGTTTGTCTGGATATGAAATTCTGGGTTGAAAATTCTTTTCCTTAAGAATGTTGAATATTGGCCCCCACTCTCTTCTGGCTTGTAGGGTTTCCTCTGAGAGATCAGCTGAAAGTCGGCTTCCCTTTGCGTGTAACCCGACCTTCATGGCTGCCCTTAACATTTATTCCTTCATTTCAACCTTGGTGAATTTGACAATTATGTTTCTTGGGTTTGCTCTTCTCAAGGAGTATCTTTGTGGTGTTCTTTATATTTCCTGAATTTGAATGTTGGCATGCCTTGCTAGGTTGGGGAAGTTCTCCTGGATAATATCCTGAAGAGTATTCTCCAACTCAGTTTTATTCTCCCTGTCACTTTCAGGTACACCAATCAAATGTAGATTTGGTCTTTTCACATAGTCCCATATTTCTTGGAGGCTTTTTTTGTTTCTTTTTACTTTTCTCTAATCTTGTCATCTCACTTCATTTAATTAATTTTATCTTCAATCACTGATATCCTTTCTTGCTCTTGATCGAATCGCCTACTAAACCTTGTGCATGTGTCATGAAGTTCTCGTGCCATGGTTTTCAGTTTCATCAGGTCCTTTAAGGTCTTCTCTACACTGCTTATTCTAGTTAGCCACTCTTCTAACTTTTTTTCAAGGCTTTTAGCTTCCTTGTGATGGGTTTGAACATGCTTCTTTAGCTCAGAGAATTTTGTTATTACCAACCTTCTGAAGCAGCCTTCTGTCAGCTCGTCAAATTCATTCTCCATCCAGCTTTGTTCCCTTTCTGGCGAGCAGCTGTGATCCTTTGGTGGAGGACAGGTGCTCTGGTTTTTAGAATTTTCAGCTTTTCTGTTCTGTTTTCTTCTCATCTTTGTGGTTTTATCTACCTTTGGTCTGTGATTTTCGTGACCTACAGGTGAGGTTTTGGTGTGGATGTCCTTTTTGTTGATGTTGATGCTATTCCTTTCTGTTTGTTAGTTTTTCTTCTAACATTCAGGTCCCTCAGCTGCAGGTCTGTTGGAGTTTGCTGGAGGTCCACTTCAGACCCTGTTTGCCTGGGCATCACCAGCAGAAGCTGCCGAACAGCAAATATTGCTGCCTGATCCTTCCTCTGGAAGCTTCCGCATGGGTGTCTGTTGGCCCCTACTGGGATGTGTCTCCCAGTTAGACTACAGGGGTGTCAGGGACCCACTTGAGGAGGCAGTCTGTCCATTCTCAGAGCTCAAATGGAATGCTGGGAGAACCACTTCTCTCTTCAGAGCTGTCAGACAGGGACATTTAAGTCTGCAGAAGTTGTCCACTGCCTTTTGTTCAGCTATGCCCTGCCCTCAGAGAGGGAGTCTATAGAGGCAGTAAGCCTTGCTGAGCTGCGGTGGGCTCTACCCAGTTCAAGCTTCCTGGCCACTTTGTTTACCTTGAAGCCTCAGCAATGGCAGATGCCAGATGCCTCTCCCCCCACTAGGCTGCAGCCTTACAGGTGGATCTCAGACTGCCACACTCGCAGTGAGTCATGCTTCATGGGTGTGGGACCCAGGAAGGCAGGCACAGGAGAGAATCTCCTGGTCTGCTGGTTGGTAAGACTGTGGGAAAAGTGCAGTATTTGGGTGGGACTGTACCGATTTTCCAGGTACAGTCTGTCATAGCTTCCTGTGGCTAGGAAAAAGAAATCCCTGATCCCTTGTGCTTCCTGGGTGAGGTGATGCCCTGCCCTGCTTTGGCTCACCCTCCGTGGGCTGCACGCACTGTCTAACCAGTCCCAATGAGATGAACCAGGTACCTCAGTTGGAAATACAGAAATCACCCATCTTCTGTGTCAATCATGCTCAGAGCAGCAGACTAGAGCTGTTCCTATTCAGTCATCTTGGCCATTCAGTAAAGTTATTTAATTTAAAACATTATCTGAGACAATGCTATTTCCACTTTTGGGTGTATAAAAAAATTTTTTTTAATGAAATGATGATGATAGTTGATGAGATCTAAAAAATAAAAGGTTAATAACACATCCAAAGATTTTTTGAAAATCAAATTGGTCTGTGGGAATGACTGTTTTAGGGAATTTTGGTCATGTATAGAAATTGAAGGATTACATATAAAGAAACTTTTGAAATTTGTATTTATTTGTAGACTTTAAGCAAACAGAGCCAATTCAGATCCCGTCAAAAGTTACTGATTGTGATTTACAATGAAATGAGATCTACCTATACATCATCGTGTTCTTAGAATATAATGTACATTGTGAATAACTAGCTATAGTTTATGACTGAATACAAACCCAATCTTTAAACTTACAAATATATATAATACCTACATAAATCAAAAGTTTCAAGGTACACTGGTAGTAAAGATTAAAACGCACAAATTCTAAACTGTTTTAAAATGGTCTATTTTAAAACTACTGACTTACATAACTTTGGCTATTAATCAAAATATAACCTTGGGGATATTGAGGAAATGGTCGAGATGACATTTTCAAATAAGAAGTAGTGGGAAGTAAGAAACCTTGATGTGAGCACTGCTTAAAATAATTGTTAAGTAAAAAGGTATATCTTTGAAATTGAAGGTGACTAGATATGTGAATGCTGTAATGCTGTTAACAATACATAAAGAAGGTTAAAATATATTCTATTACATGTATTCTATGTATTCTATTACAGTGGTTCTATTACATTAAAGGTGTCTCAGAAAATTCTGCTACGAGGTTCAAGTCCAATAAATTAACAAGTGACTTCTTTGCCTGGTAAGCTATTTGTTAACATTTTGCTAGCTGTCAAAAGGACTGACAGATTATGCAGCTTAATTTAAATTTTAATAAAAATGCAAAGATCATTCAAAATAAACACATATAATTATGCACTGTGAAAAGCAGTATTGAATACTTCAGAAGAGCAACACAAGAAAATTAATTTCACCCTACTGGTTTTTATGCACCTACAAGTCTCAGACTGCAATGTCACAGATGATCTCAACTCAAGCAGGATTATTGAAAAGCTGAATGAGTTGAGGTGGTAACTTGACTGCCTCTTCCCCTTGCTAATAACTTTGCCTATTAACTTGGGACTGTGAAATGATTTAAATAGTATGGCCTCCACGAACTGATAATCAGTTATTAAATAAAAATGGTCTGTCCTACATGGTAACATTAGTTCCCAAGAAAATGACTGTTTTGACCCCAAATATGGCATCTGGTATCCAATCTAAAAAAGTTTACTGGGTTAATTCTACTTTTGTCTTAAACTATTAATATGATCAATAAATACGTATTGTTGAGTTCCCAAAAGAAAGTGTTTTGTTTTGTTTCATGTGTTTGAAGTATTAAAAGATCATTTAACTTACTTTTGAACTTTTTCATTGGTTACTTGGGAGGCCTCTATGGCATGCTGAAGTTGTAATTCCATATTTGCTCGCTCTGTCAGAGCTTGTTGCAGTTGAGTAGCCAGTTCCTCATTTTGTTGTTGAGTGATGGAAACAATGTTCTCTCTGTTTTTTAAAGCTTCTTCATATGTACTCAGGGCATAGTTAAACTGATCCTTCAGATTTTCTTCTTGAGATAAAGAGTTGTGTAAACTGAGAAAATATTAAAAAATAATTTAAAGATAAGTAATGTAGACTGAGTGATCTATGATCTATTTAACAAAAACCTCCATTTAGAATCTCTAATTCTAAAAATCCATAAATACTTAAATGAGCAAATGAAAATAATTTTTATGTCACAACATTAAAATTGATACTTTTTCTGCTTCTAGGCTGAAAACCCAGACAAATGACTATGCCACCAAAGCATACAAAAAGATGCTGCAAGATGTTAATTTAATTAAATCAGTGTAAATATTACATTCAATTTTCTTTAAAAGGAATAGAGAACTGGAAAATAAAGTATCTCTAGGCAAATATAAGAATGTAATAAGCTGAAAGAAGTGAGAAGAGAATGGGCATTGGTTTAGGAGGTTGAGGGTCTATTCTTCCAAGCACTTAATGAGAATGGATGAGGTTTATGCAAATACTGACCAGGCTTCTACACAGCATTTTCTACTTGTCACAGTTGAGATATAAATGAATTTAAAATCACTGGTCAGATTGCACAGAAATAATATGTATTCATATATATGTGTGTATATATATATATTTTTTTGGCTAATGAATCTTATAACAAATACATCTACTCATTAAGTCATACAGAGAAATAGCATATAAATTAAGACTAAATGAATGCAGAAGAAAATGCAGACAAATAGAATCCTAAAATGCTAAAGGTCAAATCTTTGATATGTCATTACCACCTACCACCTGAGGTTATTCTGAAATGGCACCAAGCACCTCACTCAATTAAATAAAGACATTTTGAAAATATAAATATTTAATAAGAGAAATTTAAAATCCACACAGGAGATGTTCTTTTTTATTAAATATCATTTCAGTATATGCATACAAAGGAAATGTCGATTGGAGACATTTGAAGTAAAACAACTTAACTATATAATATAGATTGATAATGTAAAGGAAAGCAATATCATTATTAAACCTGCAAAAAGCTAGTCAGTGAACTTTGGCACTGTCCTAATACCTCGTGTGATACTTTCTTTAAAACTGTTCAAACTAATTATACATTTCCTTTTTTAGTTTAAGTTACCTATAAACCTTTACAGTATGCTTATTTTGGAGAAGGCGTCCCATAGAACTAGGATGGACATGAAACAAGGACAGTCAGCATACCAGATGAAATCATTTCAGGATTCAAATTCCTTCCTAAGAATACAGACTGTTACTAAGTCCTGGTCAATTGGCTACTACCTAGAAAATTAGAATGGTATGTAGTGCCACATTTGTGGAGTGCAAAAAATATCTTTTTTCATGGTTTTCACATTGTTATTAATCTAACTAACCCTACTTCATTTCTTCTCAGTTTTTTCTACCAACCTATGTGCCTAAGGACTGTCTCTTGCCCATTTTCCTACTTTTTCTGTGTCCTCTCACTTTCTGCATCTCATCTGTTCCAAGTTCCAATTTTCTTTAGCTCACCCTCTGTATCTCCTTGAAAGACGCAAGAAAGAAAGAAATTAAAAAGAAACAAACTAAAAGCTAAACCTTAACAAAGGTACTTTATGTTCTTTATGCTTAAAACATTATTAGTTATATTTTGATTTGTTAATTACATTTTAAATTACACAAGGTGCATATATACAAAGTATTCAGCTTGAAAAAATGTGAAGAACAAAATACAGAACAAACGCAGAAATCTAGAAGACCCCTAGTGTTCCCTCCCATTTTTCCCCTCCCCAAAAGGTAAGTACTAATCCAACCTTTATCAAAATGTAAATTGCCTATTTTTAAACTTTTTGTCTGGCTTAGTTTCCTCAACAATTGGTATGTGAAGTTCACCTTGCTGTTGCATATCATTCATTGCTTTTTATTGCTATAAAATATTCTGTTTTATACATATGACATAACTTATTTAACTATTCCACTGTTGTTGCTATGAATATTCTCGTACATGTCTTTTGATGGACCTAGGTATTCATGTCTAAAGTAGAATTTCTCCAAGGGTATGCATTATTTTCAGATTTAGTACACTGATAATAGATGCTGATTTAGATTTAGATGCTGCTAATAGTCTTCTAAATTAGTTGTACCAATTTATACTCCCATCAGCAAAATATGAGAGTTTCAATTGCTTTATATCCTCCCTCAGAATGACATTGGCAAGTGCTTTTAACTTTAGTTATTTTAATAAGGATGCAGTGATGTTTCACTCTATTCATATTGTCTTATGTACGTGTATGTTGATTGATTGATTGAGACAAGGTCTCACTGTTTCCCTGGCTGACCTTGAACTCCTGGGCTCAAACAATCCTCCTGCCTCAGCCTCTTGAGTAGCTTGAACTATGGGCATATGCCACCATGCCTGACTCTTAATGCTGTCTTTTGATGAAGGTAAGTTCTCAATTTAAATAAAGTTCAATTTATCATTGTTTCTTTAATGGCAATACTTTTTGTAAACTGTTTAAAAAATCTTAGCCTACTCCATTCCCTTACATTTTAACTTTACGTATATGGCCTGGTTTAAAACTCAGTGAGACAGCTTAATTTGGGAATTCTGCATTTGTCTATCATGCCTAAAGCAGTAACCAGTATACTGTAACCAATTAGAATCAATGATTAAGTTTTAAAAATCTCACCATTATTAAAATTATGAGCATCCTGATTTAATTTCCTAATCACTCCTCACTTCCTAGTCTTTTATCATTTAATTTTTAGGGGGCAAATTTATACCTCAATTTGATTTTTCTCTCAGATGGACATGTTTGGATTGTATCCGCAAGTTCAAAAGCTTCTTAGCATTCAAAATGTCTTGGAAACCTGTTAATTACTACCAAGACTTTCCCAAACAAGGGACATGATCTTTTTAAAAAGATGGAAGTAGATAATGTCACTTAAAATCCTGCAATAGCATTTTCTTGCATTTTAAGAGAAAACAGTATCTAAAAATAAATGCTATATGTTAACTCACTAAATGTCACAACTTGCATGAGAAGTCCTATTAATATTCCTTTTTTGGGGGTTGCGAGCAAGATGGCCAAATAGGAAGAGCTCCAGCCTCCAGCTCCCAGTGCGAGTGACACATGAGACGGGTGATTTCTGCATTTTCAACTGAGGTACCAGGTTCATCTCACTGGGGAGTGCCGGACAATCAGTGCTGGTCAGCTAGTGCAGCCCGAGCAGCCAGAGCTGAAGCAGGGTGAGGCATGGCTTCACTTGGGAAGTGCAAGGGGGAACGGAATCCCTTTAGAAACTGAAACACACAACACCTGGAAAATCGGGTAACTCCCACCCTAATACTGCGCTTTACCAAGGGTCTCAGCAAACGGCACACCAGATTATATTCCACACCTGGCCAGAAGGATCCCACACCCATGGAGCCTCCCTCATTGCTAGCACAGCAGTCTGAGATCTAACTGCAAGGCAGCAGCGAGGCTGGGGGAGGGGCGCCCACCATTGCTGAGACTTAAGTAGGTAAACAAAGCCTCCGGGAAGCTCGAACTGGGTGGAGCCCACTGCAGCTCAAGGAGGCCTGCCTGTCTCTGTAGACTCCACCTCTGGGGACAGGGCATAGCAAAGAAAAAAAAAAAGCAGCAGCAGAAACCTCTGCAGATGTCCATGACCCTGTCTGACAGCTTTGAAGAGAGCAGTGGTTCTCCCAGCCCAGAGGCTGAGATCTGAGAATGGACAGTCTGCCTGCTCAAGTGGGTCCCTGACCCCTGAGTAGCCTAACTGGGAAACATCCCCCGACTAGGTGCAGACTGACAACTCACACCTCACACGGCCAGGTACATCCCTGAGAGGAAGCTTACAAAGCAAGAATCAGACAGGTACACTCGCTGTTCAGAAATATTCTATCTTCTGCAGCCTCCACTGCAGATACGCAGGCAAACGGGGTCTGGAGTGGACCTCAAGCAATCTCCAACAGACCTACGGCTGAGGGTCCTGACTGTTAGAAGGAAAACTAACAAACAGAAAGGACACCCACACCAAAACCCCATCAGTTCATCACCAGTATCAAAGACAAAAGGCAGAGAAAACCACAAAGATGGGGGGAAAGCAGTGCAGAAAAGCTGGACATTCAAAAAATCAGAGTGCATCTCCCCCTCCAAAGGAACGCTGCTCATCACCAGCAATGGATCAAAGCTGGATGGAGAATTATTTTGACGAGTTGAGAGAAGAAGGCTTCAGTCAATCAAATGTCTCAGAGCTAAAGGAGGAACTACGTACCCAGTGCAAATAAACTAAAAACATTGAAAAAAGAATGCATGAATGGATAACTAGAATAATCAATGCAGAGAAGACCTTAAAAGAACTGATAGAGATGAAAACCATGACACAGAACTACGTGACAAATGCACAAGCTTCAGTAACCGACTTGATAAACTGGAGGAAAGAGTATCAGTGATTGAAGATCAAATGAATGAAATGAAGCAAGAAGAGGAGTCTAGAGGAAAAAAAGGAAAAAGAAATGAACAAAGCTTCCAAGAAATATGGAATAATGTGAAAAGACCAAATCTACGTCTGACTGCTGTGCCTGAAAGTGAGGGGGAAAATGGAACCAAGTCGGAAAACACTTTTCAGGATATCATCCAGGAGAACTTCCCCAACCTAGTAAGCCAGGCCAACATTCAAATTCAGGAAATACAGAGAATGCTGCAAAGATACTCCTCGAGAAGAGCAACTCCAAGACACATAATTGTCAGATTCACCAAAGTTGAAATGAAGGAAAAAATGTTAAGGGCAGCCAGAGAGAAAGGTCGGGTTACCGACAAAGGGAAGCCCATCAGACTGACAGCAGATCTCTGAGCAGAAACTCTCCAAGCCAGAAGAGAGTGGGGGCCAATATTCAACATTCTTAAAGAAAAGAATTTTCAACCCAGAATTATATCCAGCCAAACTGAGTTTCATAAGTGAAGGAGAAATAAAATCCTTTATAGACAAGCAAATGCTTAGAGATTTTGTCAACACCAGGCCTGCCCTACAAGAGATCCTGAAGGAAGCATTAACATGGAAAGGAACAACTGGTA